AAAATCAGTACATATTCTGTGCTCAATTGAGTGAATTTCTGTGGTTCCCGGTAGCTTAGTCGGTAAGAGTGCCCGGCGCGTATCTGGAAGACCCGGGTTCGATTCCCGGCTGGGTGAAACGGAAATTATTTCTCTCTAAATTCTAATTCTCTTAGAATTATTTAATGCCTAAAGGAGGTTAGGCGGTGTATGAAGTGAATTTGAGAGTGAATTTCTGTGGTTCCCGGTAGCTGAGTCGGTAAGAGTGCCCGGCGCGTATCTGGGAGATCCGGGGACGATTCCCGGCTGGGTGAAATGGAAATTATTTCTCTTTAAATTCTAATTCTCTTAGAATTCTTTAATGCCTAGAGGAGGTTAGGCGGTGTGTGAGGTGAATTTGAGAGTGAATTTCTGTGGTACCCGGTAGCTTAGTCGGTAATAGTACTCGGCGCGTATCTGGGAGACCCGGGTTCGATTCCCGGCTGGGTGAACCGGAAATTTTTTCTCTCTAAATTCTACTTCTCTTAGAATTTTTTTCTGATGATGATTCTGAGTCATCTGAAATTTCGAAAGTTTGAAAATCGGAGTAAAAAATTCAGAAAAACGTTTTTAGCAGATAGTAAATCTTCACGTTTGAAGTGAAGATTTACTATCTCCAAAAGTTGTAACATCATTCATGATGTTACAACTTTTGTTGACACTCATATATCCTGTGCGCACAATCCTATAAATCCATTTGTGAATTTCCAAAAACAAACATACCATTACTATGATACACTGAAAAACCAATAATTTGAAAAATTATGGTTAATCAATGGTTATGGTTAATTATGGTTGGCTATGATTTTATTACATACTATTACTTATTATTTTTTTTAGAGTGGCAGAATGCTACGCCACTCTATTTACTGGAACTGGCATTCATTTCTGCGATCACGGAATGGATATTTCGCGATCGGATTATTCAACGGGTTATTGTCTCTTTGCGTATGACTTGACACCAGATTTATCAGCAAATTGTGCGACATATTGGAATCTTGTTGAAACAGGGAGTCTCAGAATTGAGGTGCATTTTGATGACACGACGACAACGAATTTGAATTGTATTCTGCATGCCGAGTATGACAATATATTGGAGATTGATTCCATGAGACAAGTTATTGTTGATTATAATAGTTGAGACGAGTAGTTCCAATGTAGGGGTCACCGAGAGCGGACGACTATGGCCGATTGAGAAGTACTTCTCCGACCTAAACCCACACGGACAGCTTATCGGTATCGCGGCGCCAATATATCAACTAAAATTACAAAGATTGATAATAGTAAAACACATATGATTGCTAAAGCCCTTTTCCTTCTCTTTTTTTTAGTAATGATTTATGTTTGTCATTTTTCTTTCGGAAATTCTCTGATAATAAGGAACGTAACGACAAGTTGATTGTAAGAATTTAAGTTTGTAAGAGTTTAAGTTCAAGAAAATAATGAATAACAAATCCCTCACTAGATTTAAGAGAAAATTTGTAAATCTGTCTGGTAAGTATCAATTGTTCAAAAATGTGTGCATAAACAATTTAATATACTGTAAAATTTATTCGTTCATTTAATTTGAAATCTCCTCAAAATCATGTCTTCTTCCTAACCTATTCCTTACAACTAGAGTTATTTTCTTCCAAAACCATCGTTTCTGTTCTGCGGCAGGGGGCATTGTCCCGTTAACCATTATGTGAATAACGGCATAATGCCTCAAATGAGCTAGACATAAGACTAGACCGGCAAACGCATGGGGATCGCACTCTTTAATCGTAGGAAACACTTCCTTGGACGTTTCCTCACTGTGTAAATCAATTTAAAAATGATTTGATTGAAAATTCAGAAGAAAAAATGATAAGTTGACGTACCATCCAGCTTTCCAGATTACAATTATAGTGATTAAATACCCTATATCGAAACAATAATGGGAGTAGGGTGGGGATATAGACGTTACTTATGAGCAACTCCCGACATTCATCGATACGCTGTTGCTCAGAGTGTTCCATTCCGATCAACTCGATGGGCCTGACTACAATACCTGTTTACGGATTTGAATATTTTAACTCGCCGGAGGGAATACCTGCATATCACATCATTATGGAAACAGACAAATACGCCATGTGCTTTTTTATCCTCTTATCCACTCTGGTCTTGTGCGCTGGTGCACTAATGGTTTTCTGGATTATTTATGTTAATCAGAATTATTATAACGGCGGATTTGTTGGAAATGTAACCGAAATGTTGAATAAAACACTGAAAATATAAAATTTGTACAAGTGTTTCATTGTCTATTGTTAACGCATTCCTAACACCAGACCCTTCCGGATAAGTACTCCTAATTGCAGCTGTGTTTATCTAAGGCCCGGCCAGACGCTACCCCCTCCACGTTCATAGTTACCCGATACTTGTTCTCGAATATTGTACGATTCCCGCCTTTACCCCTCCCCCTTCTCTTTCCACCCAGCACCACCCTAACCTCCCCCTCTCGCCCCCTTATCTCCGCTTACCGCCCCACTCACCACCCGCTTACCACCCACCATCCCTTACCGCCCGTCACCCCCCACTCACCACCCACCCGACAACAGCGCCACCTCCCTCCCCCACTCACCACCTACAGCCCGCCACCAAACGAATAAGATATGATAGAGGAAGGTAATCTCATGTGTTCCTAAAAAGTATTTTCCACCGATGACACGAGACGTCGCTTCAGTAGCTCCAGTCGTCCCCTCTACCAGGTCCTGTTTCCTTTCCCCTTACTGCTCAATTCCCCTACCTCTCCGATTGCCGATAAGCTGTCGTAGCGATATAGCAGGCACCGATACAACCCCGACAAGTTAGGGATGGAATGAATCTTTTTTTAATTATTAAAATTTAGAAAATTCAGCGTGATATGAAGAGCTCATATCATGAGCAGCAAGTTATTGCCAAATGAAGATCATATAGATTATAATAGAAGATTATATAGCTTTGTCGTGCTTTTTTTTCAATAGATATTTTGTTTGTAGGAAGAGGTTTATAGATGTTGACTTTTCTATATAACTCATTTTATTGCGATGTTTTCTATATGTACAAATTCTGAAGTCTGAATTTTCCGTATTTCAATGAAATACGTTGATTACTTACTTCAGCAGCAAGTGGTAGATAATACCAGGGGCATCACAGTTCCTCATAAATTGAAACCAATCCACTTAAATCCAGGACAATTTGACAAGATGAATGTAAGGATAGCCACGCCATTTTTCTCCGGAGAAGTTGGACGGACTCTGTTTTTTTTTATCACGTATGGAAAACTCTGGGCTGCTCCGTGATGTTGAAACAACCGGATAGTTTATTTGTTAGGTACACAAATGGTTTGCTACCATGTCAGCCCGTCACAAATCACAGGGTTTAGGCCGGGATCCTGAGAGTTTGGAGCGAATCAAAGGACTGAACCATTTCATTTGAATCATGAACGGATTAAATTTTGAGCCAAATAAAGAGTGGAAGCTAATTCAACGTGCCGTTATTGTAGTCACTACAACTATCCTTCAGCTTCATAATAATTTATTAATGACAAACAAATTGGATTATCTATTGCCCTGTCGCATCGAATTCAGTCCATCTGAAAATCTCTTTTCTCAAGCCAGATCTGGAGACATGCATCCACAGCCAGTGCGTTTGAGACATAAATTTCGTTAATAGCAGTTACTATGTTTTTACGAGTCCCTGGGGGATCTTTATACGAAGATGGTGATGAGCCATTTTACATTAATTTATTATGAGGGAAGTCTCCTGAATCAAGATTAGTTGAAGAGGAATCCAATCATGAGGACGTGAGTTTCAAGGATTTTCCACTGACTAAAATGAAAGACGGCCACATCTCCAAAATTGCATTGCTGCACCCAATTTTCAGTTCGAATTGAAGACTACTGTCTGCAATAGTGCTACAATATCAGCGTCGAGCTTCCAAGTTGGTCCCGTCATCAAAACGTATCAAAGAAAGAAATGAATTACTCATCTAGTCATGTGAATATCGTGCACAGTTTTTCAACCCTCACATATGTATGCATGTTTATAAGGGTAGATTTCATTTTTCATACTTTGTTTTGGTTTTTTATATTTTGTTGCAGAATCGTTATGTACTTCAAAATTGTTAACACGCCAAAAGAAATTATTCTTTTCGAATGTTCTTCTAATGGAAATTATATTTTTTATTAATTATTGTATCGTGAAGTATGGAAAGAGATAAACTATACACGTTTGATTACAGTTATAATATGACAATATGAAATATTGTTAGAAGAAGCGAATTTCGAGAAATGCATATGAGAATTTTATTTATTTCTCAGTATAATAACTCATTGTATTAATAGAGGTGGGTTTGTAGCCCGACGAGCGGATAGGGGAAATGGGGCGGTGAGGGGACTCGAGACACCAGCCGAGCAAGGCAGGGGGGAGGGAGAAGTTCGACCGTAGGGCCATCTTACACAATCTCTGCGAAATACTTTTTGGGGACAGGCTGGAGAACAATGCTTGAGATTACCTTCCTCTATCATACCTTACAAACGAACAGCGCTGCCAGCGTCACCTGGTGGCGAAAGTTGGAACGATGGCTAAAGGCTACTTACAACTACTCTCGGGAAATTTGGCTAACTCTCCTGAATTACCAAGGGAGCCCAGGACATATGGGAATTATAAAGGTACCATATGAGAAGCTCAGGGAAATCACCGCGGTGAACTACGGTGAATTAACCCGTTTCGTTTAATTAGTTCTCTGGAGATTGCACTGTTGCTATCTCAAGATTGAAAATCATAGCCTCCTGAAGAGAAGAAAACAAATTTACTAATGTTTCTTTCTCCTGCACAATGAGTCCATTGCTAATGAAATAATCCGAGTGGAAAGAGTAAGGCTAGACAAGAAATGAAGAGCTTTACTCCAATCTTGATGTAATGAAATTGATTTCTTCCCTCAGAGATATAAAAACCCTGTGTTATCTCAATTTTTTCATTACCTGGGGTGGGTAATACTCGGGCAGTGTTTGGAGTGCCTCTCTGTATGATGATAGTGCCTCGTGAAGATGTCCATCGTCTGCATACAATGAGCCTAAACGTAAAAGGGCCTGGATTCTTGCAGCTTCATGGACTCTTTTGTCTTTAAGTCCTGCTCCATTAACTGATGCTGCTGTACGTAGTATGTCGGCAGCTTCGATTTTACGTCCAACAGATATTAAGGTCACTCCAAGATTCACGTAAGCCTCTGTTAATGGCGCAGGAATTTAAAGATCAGTTTTTTTTCTCATTTAAAAGAGTGGGAAAGAATGGAACGTTATTTCTCATTAAAATGAGATAAAAATATATTGGTTCAGGGATTTTTTTCATTATATATTCGGAGAACATAGTTTTTACGACTTCATGAGGATTATGGGCTTGGAATTTTATTTAATTATAAATTGAACAAAATGAAACATATCGAACACGAAGAAAAATGCGAAAGAAATGAGTACGTTAAAAGCTAAGAGAACATTAAGATTATTAGAAAATGCAGAAACTAAAAATAAATTAAAATTCTATGGAACTCTCAAATTACATAAAGTAAATATGTAAGAATGCAATCTTACTCGTTATAGAATGAGAAATTTATCGTGGCATGTACATCTGTAATATTAAGATACCATTTACTTACAAATGAATTTTTACGGTTCTAAAGTGTAGTGAAGAGAATCCTAAATGATTTTCAGAAAAATGTCGAAGAAGCAGAAACTAAAATTATGCTTCTAAAATATTCAGATGATGGACTACTATTGGTCAAAATCTGAAAAAGACTTGGCCCTTCTACTTCAACTCAAAGCCCATTTAATCTTAAATCAAACAAAAAGGAAACATACCAAAGTCCATCGAAAAAGCAAAAAGCAAACACTATCAAAGCTAATAGTCAAAATTTCTACATATTCCTTAACTTTCTTGGCCATTACATAAAAAAATTAAAAAATCATTTAAAATTACTCGAGTACTTTCAACTATGAATAAAGATACACTTTCTTTCCACTCACGAATTAAAGAAGGTCGAAAATTAATCGCTCGTTGGTAACTCAATATAGCCTCATCATAATTCCTCCTTGCCTGCTGCAGAATGCCTCTGAATAAAAAAAAGAGTAACAAAGAGTAAGAAAATATGAAGAATGTATCCTGCTACAGTTCCCCCGTAGAATAAATATTCCGCAGAGGGTGAAAAATATATAAAATAAAATATAACTCACAAATTGTAGTGTACGTCAGCCATATTAGGTCGATAGCGGAGGGCCTGGATAAATGCTTCTTCCGCTTCAGCGAATCGCCCTTGGCTGCTGAGTATACCGCCAAGATTCCCGTATGCTAGAAAATAGGATGGGAGGGATTTTTTAAATGAGTGGAGATGATGGCATATTTTATTATGGCAATATGCATACTCAGTCAAGTGTTTATTTTCTCCGTTAATAACAGAATGGAGAGTGTTTTTCCCTCATGAAGAAAAAAATCTTATTTTAAAGTGATAATGTTGGAATTTCAAAAAAAAAATTGAAAAAATATGTCGAAATCCCAATTACTTTGTGAAAATTTTTAATGAATATCAAAAAGAAGAATTCTAATTGCACCCAAAGGAATCGTTTATTCGAAATTAATATCCTGATATATATGGGGCATTCCATGCCAACTTGACCAGCCCGTGACCTCGACTCCTCAGACTTTGAATACGATTTTTTATGGAGTTTATCTAATTGAAAAAATTCATTCACATTCAAGTTTTTTCATTTTTATCATTGTTAGTTATTTTTTTGTTCAACTTGAAAGCTTAAAAAAACGCCATCCTCGAAAAATCTGAAAAAATTCACAAAATTCTGAAAAAATATGACAATTTTGTTATGTCCAGAGAAAGATTTTAGCGTCGAAGGGACATGTTTTAATTTTCACATTAAAATCAAAGCTAAAATTATTAGATTTTATAATTATTCGACGACGCAAAGTTTTATATTCTTACCTTTTTCTAAAATATAAAGGAAAAAGGTTTGATTTAGAGATAGGGTTTGAGTAGAGACTAATTACTAATCAAGAAATTTGGAGTTGTAATAGGAGTCAAATTTGAATTTAAATATATTTTGAATAACTATTCGGTTTACAAAAATATAAGCGTGATTTTACAGAAATCTATGTAGTTAAAATTCCTAGCCCTGGAATGATCTGAAGGATTCAAATTTGGGTTTACAAATTTTTTTACTCACAATTCGGTCTGTTTGTTATAAATTAATCGATGTGTTTGTAGATTCCTGGGTAAATCCGTAATTTTCTCATCAGCAATTAGTTGTGCTTAAGGCTATTATGGATACTTTCACGGAAACACTTTCTTCTACTCGTTGATATTTTAATAAATTTTGACAGTTGGATATTAAGAGTTTAAGAGTTTGTTTGAGACTATCCACAACGCGTCACAATGAACGAATTCCTCATTTGTAAGAAAAGTCACCACTCTCGATTAAAGAAATTTTATTCCCGGATAATTTCAATTGTTCATAACTTACTATTAATTCAGTACTATCCCGCGTAATCGAAGGAAGGATTGAAAAACCAGACCGATTAAATGAACTATTTCCACCAGAATTGTTACTGCTCCGTCGCTGCTTCCAGACTGACTAATTTTGATTTTTCGGACATTTTTATATGAATTTTGGGGTCACTTGTCACAGGGGCTTCAACGAGTCCAATTTGTAGTTGGTGGAAAATGTCGTATGACTTTTCCCACTCTTTTGATTTTTATGGAGAAGTAGCTCAATCGGTTTTTGGGGTTTCAATTCATCGGTTTTGAATCGTTCTTTCGCGCATGAATCTCATTGGGTAATTGGGGCATGCTGAGTGTACCATTTCATCACTTTTGAACTCGATTCCAATGTCTTTGGAATTTTTAATCGAGTTCACGTGGTGAAATGCACTCTATTTAGTTTACAATCATTGATTTGTTTCTTGTATGTATTGATTTATTTTAGGTTTATAATCGTGCACCGAGCGGTAGCCGTGAGCGGCTGGATGCTGACGGTGACATTTTTGTGGGTTCGGATTACCCTGTTTCCTATTCACCTGTCAGTTTCCTTCACTCGGTTGGTGTATGTGGAGTAGTTGTGAGTGATTTTATTTATTGTGACGGAAATTTGCGTTTTTATGGTAAGTGTTTGTGGGTATTTTATTGTCTATTTTCTGTTTTTATTTTTGATTTGTAGCTACATATGCAGTGATTTAATTTTGTTGGGTTCGCTGCAGTTGTATGTAAACACTCGTGTTTGTTTTTTTTGTTATATGTTAGCTTATCTATTTATTTATTTTATTTATTTTATTATTTTTGTAATTTCTGGATAAGTTCAATTTGAAATTATCATTTTATGTTGCTGTTTGTGAGGGGAGTGTGGTGAGGGGCTAGTGCCCGTGCGAATGTCGCACAATGAGGAACGGCCGATTGAAACCCTCCACGCTCTTATGCATAGGAGGTGTATTTTTCTCCATTTCTCTTTGTGCAACATTCGCACCAATAGGAATGGAAGATGAGCTATGTATAGTTCCTCACACTCACGTGCATGGGCTCGTTCCCCTTCTCTCCGGGAGGGATTTTTCTTTTTTTGGGGGCGCGAATGATATTTGCTTTTACCGGTTAATTGTTGTTTCCCATTATTTATTAACGACAAACAGCGTACAAATTTATTATTGGCGATTATTTGTTAACAAATTTTTTTTTATATAATTTTTTTTGGGGGGGGGGCGACTCGAGTGGTATTTGTACTTGTTGTCACTGATTAGTTGTTTTTTTTTAGATGGCTCCAGGTTTGGTTAAGGAGGTTTTGGAGGTGGAAGGTGAGAGGGAGATGAAGGAGGTGCCCGATAGATTTGGTTGGTTGCTAAATCTGGTTGGGCCTTGGTTACCCAGATGGTGGTCCATAGGATGATGTTAGCTCTCATGGTGTTGTGGTCTGTAAGTTGGAGAATTTTGGTTGAGTTCGGTGTGATTAATTTTCGTTCTGGCAATTAACAGTTTTGGTCTAGTTGGGTAGAATCCAAATTTGGTAGATACCAACAGAATGTGGGTATTATTTCTGATCCTATTTTTGCTAGTTCGTCAGCTTTTTCGTTTCCGTATATTCCCTGGTATCCTGGGGCGTATTCGAATTGGACGTCGATTTTACGGGTTCATCAAGCTGTTTCAGGAGTGTTTGATTTACGACGGATTTGGATTTAGCATTTAGCCAGCCGTTTGTTTTCCATTTTTTTATATGTTCGGTCATGCAGCTGATGAGGTATTTGGAATCGGTGATCATTCTTATTCTTGAAATGTCGTGGCGAATACATATTTAACATGCTTCTATGGCAGCTGCAGTTCTGGCGGTGATGTTGGTGGCCCGTATGCCTTGCACAGTTTTATAGGTGTTGAGGAGGTGATTGTCTGCAACCCACACTCCGATTCCTGCTTTGGCGTCAATTGAGCCGTTGAAACAGCAGGGCAGTTTTCAGGCAACCATCGACGTAAACTGGCGTGCCTGATCCATCGGTACTCATGTCTCTGGAATGGTTTCGTTTTTGGTAGTTTATAAGGTCGGCATGGTGTGTTTGGCAGTACTGGAAACGGTATTGACTCATTCTTCGCAGGGTTTCAGCTTATTTGGGTATTTCATGAAGTTTTGTCCGTCTTCGCTTTCTAGGTACACATTTCCCTTTTCTGTGATGTCAACGATCTCGTAGGGTCCAGTGTAGACCTGATCTAATTTTCCAATCTTGGGTTCCTTTTCGACGTAGACAAATTGCCCTATTTTGAGGTCTAATGATCTAGCGTTTCGGTCGTAAAGGCTTTTGGAGTATAGTTTGGCCTTTTCTAGGTGGTCAAAGGCTAGATGGTAGATTTTCACCAATTTGGTAATTAGATCTACCATGTAATCGTTGTAAGTATGGATTGGCTCATCTTCGTCGATGACGTTGGAGGGGAGAACTGCCCTTTTTTCATACAGGACTTCAAATGGTGTGAAATTTGTTGAGCTATGCACAGTGGTATTGTATGATAGCATGGCGAAGGGGAGTAGCTCGTCCCAGTCGGTGAATTCATCTGTAAAAGTCTTCAGGTATTCGGCTAGTACGTGATGACTTCTCTCGTGGGCTCCATTTGACTGAGGTCTGTATCCGGATGTCGTCATATGGTGGAATCTCAGGACCTTTCCCAGTCGGTTGAACAGTTTACTGAGGAAGCTGATACCTTTATCTGAGAGGATTATTTTGGGGCATCCGTACTGAGCTACATACTTGGTTGCGAGTGCATGAGCGATGGTGTGAGCCTTGATGTCCTTAAGTGGTACAGCAGTGCAATGCTTGGAGAAGTTATGCTGAGTTGTCTGGACATGGCAGTGTACCGTACGTGTAGGTGGAAGGGGGCCCACAGTGTCAATAGAGATTCTCTCGAAGCATTCGCTAGGTGTTTCGGTGATGAGCATGGGCTGTCGGAATTTCACTCTTCGACTCTTCTCTAGTTGACAGGTCAGGCAGAATTTAATAAATCTCTCTATTGCCTGTTTCATCCCGGGCCAGTAGAATCTTCCTCCTACTCGGTTGAATGTTTTAACAATCCCTTTGTGTCCTCCGGGAGGAGTTGCGTGGCATTCCTTAATGATTTCTGGTCTTAGGGCTACTGGAGGCGTCCGGATTCCACCATGGCATAGAGTTACAGTAGCTGGGTTTAATTGAAATTCTTTCTCCAGGAAGTATCGTATTCTGATATCGGCATCTATTTCGTCGCCCTGAGATGCCATTTTTATTTCGGTGATTTTGTATTTTTCCATGGCGGTTTTGAGATTTTTCAGGCAGAGTTTTAGTATCCGATTGTTTACTTTTTCGAAGTGCCATTGCTTCGCAATGAGAGTAAATGTTCGGAATTTTCTGCACTTCGTGACGATGACTTGGCCTAGTTTTGAATTGAGCCTACGTATTTTCTCCAGGCCTATCAGATCGAGGTCTCTTAAGAGTTTGGTGTTCTGTTTTTTTATCTCTCCATCTGCTGCGAGGAAATGAGCAATGTTTCCCCTTGTAAATGTTAGTCCATCTCGGGTTTCTTTGATGTTGCTGACAGGCTGGTAGTCACTTTGCGGTATAATGATCTTGTCATCCACAATTTCCTCGTTCAGATTATTCTCAGGTATTTCCCGATGATTCTGTATGAAACTGTGTTCTTCGCTCGTAAGAAGGTCAGGCATGAGGAATTTGGGGTATGGATTCAATTACACCCCCAGTAGCTGTGCTGGTGGCGGGTATACAACTTCGTCTGCTTGGGGAATTTCGGCTTCTCCGGGTTGCGTTGATGGATGTATTT